TTTATGTCGGCATTTATTGAAAGGACCTTATGATTGTGCTTTGCCATCTGAGGCAAGTGTGAAGAGTAATGATGTCTGATGAAACGGCTTTTGAACGCGCTCAAGAGGAGGTTAATACTAGTGGATTTGTTGACTGTTAAGCCAACGGATTCTGACATGTGTATTAGATGTTGACTTGTGTGATCTGTGTAGAGCTGTAATTTCGCACAGTGAGAATTCTGGCATGCTTGAAAGAAACTGATACTTGGAAGCAACGTTTACAGCGGTTTAAATCGCATATATTGAGAGCCGTTGCAGTTGCTCTATATTGAGATTCATAGTACGTTGGGAATACAATAGTCAATGAGGGCACCGTTATGGGCAAACGTCTAGTTTTTGATTAAGGCCGGCTAAAGCTGGATAAAATAGGTACTACGCTACGCTCAGGTGGGTGGCATGATAAGCATTAGGCGTGGATAGTGATCAGCTAGCATGGGCTAAACGTAGACGTGGTAGGCTCCTCCTCCGCTGTCTTCAGGACAGCTACGCCACCGTTACCTTCTTCCCGCCTTCCTCCTGTCCTCCCTCTCTATCTCTTCTCAAGCGTCCTACTCGCGTTCTACACTCCCCGTCACTCTCACCGAGCTAACCCCCTCCTAAGCTCTCTCTCCCCCGCCTCATCCTGAGCTACTGGCCTCGCTCTTCGCGTACCCTTTCTCTCACTGCCTAGCCCTTAGCCGGCCTCGCTCCCCTCTCTCTCTCTCAGCCTCATCTCTCTCTTCTCTCGCTACTCCCTAGTGCTACCCGCGGCTCTTAGACACTCAATGCCATGCGTTCACTCTCCGTCTCCTCGACCGCCCGCTGCCCACCTGCCCATTCTTCCACCTATCCCGACTCGGCCAAGTTCAGCAGTTGAGCCCACAGCTCACATCTCAGCCCTCCCATCTTTCTGCATGCCGACCTTTCATACCGCGCCCCGTTCCATACTACTTCTCTTATCATGCGCGCGCCTCCCTTCTCCCACTAACAACTAGTGGCACAGCGCCAAAGTACTCTAGCCTTCCCCTCCTCTCTACGACCCTTCCTGTTTTCAATCAACCCTCTTGGAAGATCACCGTAGTACGATTGCGCTAGCGATCTGTCAATGCGTGCAAAGCGACTAGTGCGGCATATCCTCTCTGGCGAAAAATTTGTGGCGCGAAAGTTGTAGCGCTGGCCGTCCTCGTGCGCTCGGCATGGCCTGCTCGTGGACGCCGCCGGTCCGCACGCTCACCACTTATCAAACGCTCCTACCGCTTGTACTGTCGGAGCGCTCACATATGCCTCGGAGTATTGGTCGGTAGCAACACTGCGGGTGCTGTCTGCCGGGCCGTTAAGAGTGCTATCAGGCGGGGCGGCACGGTGGCAAGAGATCCGCTATATCGTTGGAAATGGGGTCTCGGATCGCGTGGTTCCCAAGGCTCGAGTCGATCATCGAATCGATGACGTCTTCGGATTCTCGTGAAACGTCGGCAGGGCTCCCTCAGACTGTCAGGCACGGTCCCGACGTCGCACTCACAAACTTCTTGTGGCCCGTGCACGTCAGCTGGTCCGAGCGCCATCGCCGCGAGGGCGCCCGACCGCGCCGGCAGAGCATTTAAGAAATCTGTGACGTTACACCGTATGGCGTTGGGGGCTGCTGCAACTGACGCGAACAGTTGTGCGACGTAACGTCTCTAGTGCGTGCGCATTTTTGTGTACGCATATTCTATGTAGTTATCCATTTCAATAGAATTTCCAGCTAGCGCTGGCGATTTCAGAGCGCCAGCATATTGTAGAATTATGAGTTGATGGACTAAAGATTTATGGTAAGTGGCACTGAGAAGTACCATTGCCTAAGACAGTTAACACGGTACAAAATATAGATACAAAGAGGAAAAAAAAATAAAAAAATTAAAGTTTTAGTGTATCCTAGAGATTGTTGTACAGAACGGCAACTTATAGCAATCCGCATGACGTATACTGATGACAGTAAGCAGCGCGGCGTGGGTGAGCTGTCAATCTCTGCTCATCTGGTTGCTCTCTCTGGCGGATCTGGCTGGACTACTCGGAGTGGTCAGATGAGTGCGACATTACGCGCGTGAAACCATAGGAGAGGGCGCCATCCCCATTCGCTAGTGTCTTAGGCAGTAAGTGTTTGCGCAGTGTAATGATATGATCGTAAAGTGTGAAGTTGTGTTAATGTCATTGCTATGCAATGTTTTTATTAGTTCAATTGGCTCTCTTCTTTTATTATTGCTTCAAATCAATGAAATGTAATGTAATTATAATAAAAGTTTTTATTAATTTTCACACTAGAGACAGAAGTGGAATTGACTGCGAGACAGATTATCATGCACGCAGGGATACGAGAAATCGATATGCACTAGCCTATATTTACGATACCAGGGTATTTGCTTATTTACATATGATCATGTGCCTAATTTTCTATAATGCTGAATAGCCGAGCCACGTAAAGTCCGCGCTTCTTTTGATAGGTTGTTGTGTCGAAATCCGCATCTGTTTTAATTTTTTATTTTTAAATTTTTTTATTTTTTCCTGTTTAGGGTTAGGTTAGGATTAAGTTAGGCATTAGGGTTAGGGTTCACATGCGTTCATACATGTGTAAAATGCTGTATTATGGACCCGAGCGATCCCCGAAGTTGCGCCCTATCTATCAACCATTCGGCTATTTCCGGAAAAATGTGTGATTAATTATTCAATAATATTGTAGCACGATTCAGCTTTCACAACCGCTTTCGTAATACCGCACGCGTTTCCCCCGTCGCTCACCAGGGCGGCGACGACGGCAGCGACGGAGCACCTCTCCTGGGAGCGGCTGTGCGCGCTCCCACCGCAGTATGAAGTCCTTAACCGTCTTGCTCACTAACACTCCATCCGGATCTGCTGCAATGTAGCTAAACGAAGAACAAAGGAGTGGATTGTCGGATGTATAGACGCGGCATGTGATCGTAGATAATGAAATAATCGGTGGGGCAATAAGATATACATGGTCTGGCGTCAGTCTCTCATGATTCTGTATGGCATTTCAAAGTTGACAATATTTATTGATATTTGGCTAAGGGATAGTTAGTGATTCCGCTAGGGAACGGCTCTGATTGGTCTAATTTTGTTGCTCTTAATTTATTTTATTTTTATTATTTTGACTAATTTTGTTTATTTAGATAGGGTAGGGTTAGGGTTAGGATAATAGGGGTAGGGAATTAACTGATTTCCTATATCCACAACTTATTTCTATATTCCACTATCTCCCCTGAGACCTACTTAATATTTATTCTGCGTTGGCATTACATTATGGCTGTGGTGGTACTACTACTGACACCTGGTGGTAGAAAACATAAACATCAGATACATTACTGAACGTGACAGATGGTAAATCAATAATCGTAGGTAAACAAGGAACGAAGACAAATGTCTTCAATTGTTTTCATATGCCCAATCAATAATATCAGGAGTGAAATAAACCTGGGTCTGCTGCAATGTAACTAAAACGAAGATGAAAGTGAGCATATACTTAATCAATACTATCAGGAGTGAAATAAATCTATCGATTTCTTATCTATTTGATCTATTAATGATATTTTATACAAAGGAAGAAAAAGAGAATGAAGAGAAACAGGCAGAGAGACAGAAAGAGACACCGAGAGAAATGAAGAGGGTGCAAAAGAGAGACAGAGAAAGAGTGAGAGACAGAATAGAGAAAGAGAGAGAGAGAAGGTGAGAGACAGAATAGAGAAAGAGAGAGAGAGAGAGAGAGAGAAAGCGAGAAATAAATACAGAAAAAGAGACGGATCGTTCGAAAAGAAACATGCGCACCGCGCACGTAAGAAGTGCAATACAAGTTATCGCACGCAGAAGAGTTCAAACTTACTCTACTATCCTCTCCTTGGGATTGAACGGCGCCATCGCGCTGAGACCGAGGCGATCTATTGCCAGCTTCACCTTCTGTTCTTCCTCCAGCACAAACAGATCCTCCTCCCGGATGTAGTAATCCGCAGCTTCCAGGATCGGAGCGAGCGGGATGAGTCCGACAATCTGTGATCCCACCACGGGAAGATTCAGCTCCTGTGGAAAGGGATAGAGAGAGGGGAGGGGATTAAGGATGATGTTTTCGATACGGAGACACGATAATGGAATTAAGTGGTGGTGAATGGAATTTAAATTAAATAAATTTAATAAATAAAATATATTATAATTAGAAATAATAAAAATTAATAAATTTATATAAATTATGAAATAAATATAATAAATAAAATTAAATAATGGAATTACGTGAACAAAAATACAGTGGTAGGTAATTAGAGAGAGGGAGGGCGAGAGAGAAGGGATGATGTCAATTATCTCTATTGTTTATCTCCCAATTTGGGAACGATATCAATTACTAAAGGAAGGATATTCCATAGTTTGACGAACTAGAGAGTAACATGGAGAGAGAGATATAGAGACGTTGAGAGAGGAAGATAGGGGGATATAGAAGAAGAGAGGATGGAGAGAATGGAGAGAGAGAGAGAGAGAGAGAGAGAGAGAGAGAGAGAGAAGAAGAGAGACAGAGAGAGAATGGAGAGAGAGAGAGAGAGCAGAGAGAGAGAGACCAGAGAGAGAGGAGACAGAGAGAGAGAGAGAAAGAAGAGAGAGAGGAGAGAGAAGAGAGAGAGAGATGAGAGAGAGAGAGAAGGAGAGAGAGAGAGAGAAGAGAGAGATGAGAGAGAGACAGAGAGGGAGAGGAATCGGAACAGAGAGGGGGAGAAGAGAAAGAGTGAGAGAGAGTGAGAGAGAGCGAGAGAGAGTAAGACGAGCGAGAGGAGAGAGAGAGAGAGGAGAGAGAGCGAGAGAGAGAAGAGAGAGAGAGAAAGAGAGTGAAGAGAGAGAGAGAGGAGAGAGAGAAAGAGAGAGAGGGGGGAGAGTGAGAGTGAGAGAGAGGAGAGAGAGAGAGAGAGAGAGAGAGAGGAGAGATAAGAGAGAGAGAGAGAGAGAAAGAGGTGAGAGAGAGAGAGAGAGAGAGAGAATAAGAAGAAGAGAGAGATGAGAGAGAGAGAGAGAGAGAGAGAGAAGAGAGAGAGGAGAGAGAAGAGAGAGAGATAGAGAGGGAGAATGAGAGTGAGAGAGAGAGAGGAGAGAGAGAAAAAGAGAAGAGATAAGAAGAGAAGAGAGGGGGTGGAGTGAGAGATGAGTAGACAGAGAAAGAAAGAGAGAAAGGGAGAGACAGAGAGCAGAGAGGAGAGGGGAGAGTGAGACGGAGAGAGCAGAGAGATTGGGAGAGCGAAGAGAGAGAGAGAGGGAGAAGAGAGAGAGAGACGATGGATAGAAGAGAGTAGTAGAGAGAGAGAGAGAAGAGAGGGAAAGAAAATTACACGAATAGAAGAGGAGAGAGAGAGTAGAAAGAGACAGAATGACTGAGAGAGAGGAGCGAGAGAGACAGAGAGAAGAGTGTAGAGCGAGAGAGAGGGAGAGAGGGAGAGAGAGAGAAGAGAAAGAGAAGGAGAGAGAGAGAGAGAAGAGAGGTGAGGAGAGAGAAGAGAGAAGCAGAGAGAAGAGAGAGAGAGAGAGAGAGAGAGAGAGAGAGGAGAGAAGAGAGAGAGAGAGAGAGAGAGAGAGAGAGAGAGAGAGAGAGAGAGAGGAGAAGCAGAGAGAGAGAGAGAGCAGAGAGAGAGAGAGAGAGAGAGGAGAGAGAGAGAGAGAGAGAGAGAGAGGAGAGAGAGAGAAGAGAGAGAGACCGGAGAAGAGACGAGAGAGAGAGAAGAAGAGAGAGAGAGAGAGAGAGAAGAGAGAGAGATGAGAGAGAGAGAGAGGAGAGGAGAGAGAGAGAGAGAGAGAGAGAAGGGTCAGGCGAGAGAGGAAGAGAGAGAGAGCGAGAGAGAGAGAGAGAGCGAGAGAGAAGAGAGAGAGAGAGGCGAGAGAGAGAGAAGAGAGAGGGAGATGAGAAAGAGAGAGAGGAGAGGGTGAGAGCGAGAGAGGGGGAAAGAAGGAGAGACATGAGATATAGAGAGAATTGAGAGAAGAGAGAGAGACAGAGAGGGTCATGTGCTAGGGAGAGGGCCGGGGCAGAGAGAGAGCTGAGATGAGAGAGGAGAGCCGAGAGCAGAGAACAAGAGAAAGAGGCGCAGAGAGAGAGGAGATGGAGAGAAAGAAGAGAGCGAGAGAACTTGGAGGAGAGAGAACGAGAGAAGAACGAGAGGAGAGAACCTGGCTGGCTCGGAGCTGGAGGAGATATAGAGAGGAGGTGTGGTGAGAGGCTGAGAGACGTGAAGAGAGAGAGAGCAGAGAAGAGAGAGAGAGACGAGAGAGAGAGAGAGGAGAGGAGTGGACGAGAGTAGAGAGGAGAGGAGAGAGAGCGGAGAAAGAGAGAGAGAGAAGGAAGAGAGAGAGAGAGAGAGAGTAGCAGAGAGAAGAGGAGAGAAGAAGCAGAGAGAGAGAGGGCAGATGCAGAGAGAGGAGAGTGAGAGAGTAGAGAAGAGAGAGAGAGAGAGATAAGAAAGAGAGTATGAGGGTGGCGGGAGAGAGAGAGAGAGGATTATTGAGAGAGAGAGAGCCGAGAGAGAGAGAGAGAGAGAGAGAGAGAGAAGAGAGAGAGAGAGAGAGAGAAGAGTCCGAGAGAGCGAGAGAGAATGAAGAGAGAGAGAAATACGCGATAGAGAGCCAGCAGAAGAGAGAGAGAGAGAGAGTCAAAAAGCCAAGAAGAGAGTGATAGCGAGAGCGGAGACAAGAGAGAAGATGAGGAGAGAGAGAGAGAGTAGATGGAGAAGAGGAGAGAGAGAGAGAGAGAGAGAGACAGAGAGAGCAAGAGAGAGAAGAGAGAGCGAGGGGAGTGCAGAGAGAGAGATAGAGAGACAGAGGAGAGCCACAGGAGAGAGCGAGGAGAGAGAGTGAGTGAGAGTGAAGAGAGTCGAGTGAGCATGAGAGAGAGAGAGAATGGCGAGAGGAGAGAGAGAGAGAGGGATGAGGGGAGTGAGAGAGGCGAGAGAGAGAGAGAGAGGAGAGAGAGAGAGAGAGAGAGCGGGAAGAGAAGAGAGACAGAAGAGCAGAGCGAAGAGAGCGAGAGAGGAATGGAGAGAGAAGAGAGAACGGAGAGTAGAGAGAGTATGAGAGAGAGAATCGGGAGAGAGAAGATAGAGAGAGAGCGGATGTTGAGAAGAGTAGAGAGAGGAGAGAGAAAGAGAGACAGGAGAGAAAAGAGAGAGAGAGAGAGAGAGGACTCGCGAGGAAGGAGAAGAGAAGCAGCTGTAGGCTGCCCCACGGGAGAGAGAGAGAGAGACGAGTCAGGAGAGAGAAGAGAGCAAAAGAGAGAAGAGAGTGAGAGAGTATATAAGTGAGTACAGCGACGCGACGAGGAGAGATGTAGAGAGGAGTACATAGACGATGAGTAGATGAGGCGAGGAAGAAGAGGAGATAAGAAGAGAGAGAGGAGAGAGAGAGAGCAAGCTAGGGAGCGGTAGCACTGAGAGAAGAGAAGAGAAGAG